CAGCCGCCACCACCACCCACCACCACCACCACCACCCACCACCGCCGCCACCACCAGCCGCCACCGCCCGCCACCGCCCGCCACCAGCCGCCATCACCACCACCACCACCACCAGCCGCCATCACCGCCACCAGCCGCCACCAGCTGCCACCACCACCAGCCACCACCACCACCACCACCAGCCGCCATCACCGCCACCAGCTGCCACCACCACCAGCCGCCATCACCGCCACCAGCTGCCACCACCACCAGCCGCCATCACCGCCACCAGCTGCCACCACCACCAGCCGCCACCACCAGCCGCCACCACCGCCACCACCACCTGCCACCAGCCGCCACCACCGCCCGCTATCAGCCGTCACCGCCCGTTGCCACAGTCGCCACCGCAAGCCGCCACCGCCAGCCGCCACCAGCCCCCCCACCGCCGATCGTCACCACCCACCACAGCCGCCGCCGCCCGCCACCGCCCGCCACCGCCCGCCACCACCCACCACAGCCGCCACCACCCACCACCCGCCGCCACCACCCACCACCACCACAAGCCGCCACCACCCGCCGCCACCACCCACCACCCGCCGCCACCACCCACCACCACCACCCCCACCACCACCCGCCGCCACCACCCACCACCACCACCCGCCGCCGCCACCCACCACCACCAGCCGCCGCCGCCACCCACCACCCGCCGCCACCGCCACCACCACCCACCACCACCGCCGCCACCACCCACCACCACCAGCCGCCGCCGCCACCGCCACCACCACCCACCACCACCACCACCACCCACCACCACCGCCGCCACCACCCACCACCACCAGCCGCCGCCGCCACCACCACCCACCACCACCGCCGCCACCACCCACCACCGCCAGCCGCCACCACTCATCACAGACGCCGCCACCCGCCACCGCCCGCCACCACCGCCCAACACAGCCGCCAGTGTCCGCCACCGCCGCCACTGTCCGTCACCGCCGCCACTGTCCGCCACCGCCGTTACTGTCCGCCACCGCCGCCACTGTCCGCCACCGCCACCACTGTCTGCCACCGCCACCACTGTCCGCCCGCCGCCACCACTGTCCGCCCGCCGCCACCACTGTCCGCCCGCCGCCACCACTGTCCGCCCGCCGCCACCACTGTCCGCCCGCCGCCACCACTGTCCGCCCGCCGCCTCCACTGTCCGCCCGCCGCCTCCACTGTCCGCCCGCCGCCTCCACTGTCCGCCCGCCGCCGCCACTGTTCGCCCGCCGCCGCCACTGTCCGCCCGCCGCCGCCACTGTCCGCCCGCCGCCGCCACTGTCCGCCCGCCGCCGCCACTGTCCGCCCGCCGCCGCCACTGTCCGCCCGCCGCCGCCACTGTCCGCCCGCCGCCAAAGCCGCCACGGTCCGCCCGCCGCCACTGTCCGCCCGCCGCCACTGTCCGCCCGCCGCCACTGTCCGCCCGCCGCCACGCTCCGCCCCCGCCGCCACTGTCCTCCCGCCGCCACTGTCCGCCCGCCGCCACTGTCCGCCCGCCGCCGCCCTGTCCGCCCGCCGCCGCCCTGTCCGCCCGCCGCCACCGCCGCCACTGTCACTGTCCACCCGCCGCCACTATCCGCCACCGCCGCCACTGTCCGCCCGACGCCACTGTCCGCCCGCCGCCACTGTCCGCCCGCCGCCACTGTCCGCCCGCCGCCACTATCCGCCACCGCCGCCACTGTCCGCCCGCCGCCACTATCCGCCACCGCCGCTACTGTCCGCCCGCCGCCACTGTCCGCCCGCCGCCGCCACTGTCCGCCTGCCGCCACTATCCGCCACCGCCGCCACTGTCCGCCACAGCCGCCACTCTCCGCCGTACAGCCTCCCCTCTCTCCGTTAGTAAATAATTATAATTGTTAGTAAATAATAAAAGAAATATAAATTATTAGATTTTTTTTACCCTTAAATTGGTTTTAATATTTAAATTGAAAATAATAATATAATATAAAATATAATAAAAATAATATAATATAAAATATAATTTAATTTCAAGAAATTTAACTTTAAACACAAAGATGTGAAAAGGGTTCAGATTATTGGCTCAAACCTTTCATAAGAGATTCATATTGGTATATGAATGGATTATGAATGACTCATGTTAGGAGTGTAAAGTTGCCACAACATCTCAAATTAGTGTTAGATACATATGTCTTGGTTATAAGTTTTGGAAACCTATTTAAGCCCACACACAATATCGTATCTGATACGATAAAACAAACGTTTCCAATACTTTCAAATACTTTCCAGATATGTTGTGGCAACCTAAAATTGTTTGCTGGGTATTGAGCAAAAGAGTGCCAAACTTGGAAAATATTCGGCGACGACGCTGTGTGGGAAAACAGCGATTAGCTCAGCGCCCATCGATGAACCAGGATTGGGGTAGCTGAATCTCAGGGATTGGAACGGCGACGACGCGAAGGCTCCACGACACCTGAGGACCTGTGGAACGTTCCTGGATCGTCAAGGATCGACTCAGGAAGCGTGGGAACCTCACACCTTCGAGGGACAGGCGTCGTGAGCTAGGAATGTAAGGTAGATCATTTTCCCTCCCATTACCCCTTGTGTGAGTAGGTTAGTTAGGCCACAATATTTACTTATGTATGTGGCAATAGAACATTAATACTTTAGTAGTAGAATAGGCTGCATGGCAGCTTGAGTCCAGGACTGTCAGAGGGGACAGTGTGTATGGATGGCAGGACAGTGAAGAAGGCCTCTTCACCAGTGACATGGTGAAGAGGCCCTCCTGTGAGAGAGTGTGGGACTCCTGTCTTTCTGCCCAGTTGAAGGAGAGTTGGAGGTCGTGGAAAAAGAGGCTGACGATCTCCAGACTTATTATCCTTATTTTCATATTCATGTATTACTTGTGATTGTATGTGTGATCATGTAATTTGCATCAGTAAATTCACACTTTTACCATTGTGTTTAAGTGTGCCTCCATTTATAATATTTCTCTATGAGCATACACGAAGGTTATCACAGTACCACCTAGGGAACACTACGTTCTCTATAGAAGTCCTTATTGCCTGGAGAGTGGTTAAGACAGCACGGACTTATATAAAAGTGTACCCTTAGCCATCCGATCAGTATCGGTGCCTGAATGGTGGCAATTAGTAACGTAGTGGCTAGAGAGAGGTAAAGCCACACAGACCTTCCTGGGAGAGTACCCTGGGCCGACAGTCTAGTAGCATAGTAGCAGATCTATGGGAATAGCAACCTTCTGGCTACAAACAATATATAATACGCCCACTGAACTGCATTGCTGGGGTGCAGATATAATAACCCAGCTGGCGACCTTGTTAAGAAGAAGATAGAGAACAGACGGGAAAAAGAGTTCCTGCAACCTTTTTCTCTGGCAGGCAAGACTCAGGGAGGTTATTGTTATAAGGTAAGCCTGAGTCTTCCTTCACTCCTCCACGGGTCTAGGCCGGAACTGTTAACAGCAGTTTTCCCGTGTTTGACTGAAGGGCTTCCAGGGTGAATCAGTGGCACCCCCTTTTTGTGGTGGAAGCAAAGACCTGCGGAGGTGGGCATTGTTGGTCCTCTCTTGTGTGACCAAGGAGACTCCGGTGAATCCAGGGAGTCAGAGGGGCTGAGTATCCAGCCTTTTGAGCCCCTAGCAGCTGAGTGCTAGCAGAGCCCCGGCCCACCCCACGTGACAATATATATATATGTATTTATATATATTATATATATATATATATATATATATATATATATATATATATATATATATATATATATATATATATATATATATATATATATATATATATATATATATATATATATATATATATATATATATAATATATAAATATATGTCGTATAGTAGCCAGAACGCACTTCTCAGCCTACTATGCAAGGCCCGATTTGCCTAATAAGCCAAACTTTCCTCAATTAATATATTTTCTCTAATTTTTTTCTTATGCAATGATAAAGATACCCATTTCATTATGTATGAGGTCAATTTTTTTTTATTGGAGTTAAAATTAACGTAGATATATGACCGAACCTAACCTAACCTAACCTATCTTTATAGGTTAGGTTAGGTTAGGTAGCCGAAAACGTTAGGTTAGGTAGTCCAGAACGCACTTCTCAGCCTACTATGCAAGGCCCGATTTGCCTAATAAGCCAAGTTTTCATGAATTAATTGCTTTTCGAGTACCTAACCTACCTAACCTAACCTAACCTAACTTTTTCGGCTACCTAACCTAACCTAACCTATAAAGATAGGTTAGGTTAGGTTCGGTCATATACCTATGTTAATTTTAACTCCAATAAAAAAAATTAACCTCATACATAATGAAATGGGTAGCTTTATCATTTCATAAGAAAAAATTTGAGAAAATATATTAATTCAGGAAAACTTGGCTTATTAGGCAAATCGTGCCTTGCATAGTAGGCTGTGAAGTGCGTTCTGGCTACTAGGTACGACATATATATATATATATATATATATATATATATATATATATATATATATATATATATATATATATATATATATATATATACTGTGCTACAAATAAAACGTGGAACACTGGAACACAACGTGGCGTATACATTGCCCGAAACGCTATGCGTGCTAGTGGCTTCACAGGAGTGCAGGCGATGAGTCACAATAACGTGGCTAAAGTAAGTTGACCAGACCACACACTAGACGGTGAAGAGACGACGACGTCATTAGCGTTTTGGACAGTAATTCGATTGAGAATGGTCCAGGACGGACCGAAACGTCGTCGTCCCTTCACCTTTTAGTGTGTGGTCTGGTCAATTTACAGGAATGTCTAACTTCAAGTCTCTGTACGCTAATAAACCCTATGTACCGTCTTGTATATAAAAAAATAAATAAATAAATAAAGAAATAAATAAATATATAAATAAATAAATAAATAACAAGTATACGGGGCGCCACGTATATGGCGAATTATGGCAAGTACGGGGAGATTAGGAGATAGTATTGGCGGCCGTCGACGCCTTGCTGCCTCAGTCTGCACCTGTGGACGTCAGGTGCCGCCGCGCTCGTGGGGGGTCTACAAAACGTTTTCCTAACACAGTCTGACTCTTACAACTGTGAACGCCAGCGCTGCATAGTGTGATCTACACTGTTGCGGTATGTAGCTGCATTTTTCATTCCTGTGCCGTATACCGTCATAGTGCAGTTGGCTCTTCATTCTCGACACTCAATCGGGAAACCGGGTTCGATTCTTAGGCCGGAGAGAAATGATTGGGCACATTTCCTTTAACCTAATGTGCCTGTTCACCTAGCAGTAAATAGGTACCCGGGAGTTAGGCAGTTGTTGTGGGGTTCCATCCTGGGGTGTGTCTGTATAGCTCGACCTTAGGGGGGCGGGGCTTCGATAACGGCACTGTTGGATATAGTGCCCAGTGTCTTATCAACATGAATCATTTAGCAAGAACAGTAATACTTAATAAAGAAGGTAGATTATTAATTGTTGAGACTGTATAAGCCTGATAGATATGTGAAAAAGAAGAAGGTAACAGCTAAAGCTGCCCCCGGGCTCTCTGGGGGTGGAACTCTGCCGGTGTGTATAGGAACGGGGGGGGGGGTGGGGGAGGAGTGAAGAGCACCTGTGGTGACCTTTCTCTCCTTCCCCCCCCCCCCCCCCCCCCATCCTAACAAGCACATCCCTCGGGGTTAGAAGGAATGAATTTGTGAGGGGAGGAAGGTGTAGGGGCTTCAGACCTCCAGACCTCTGCCGGCTACATGTAGGCCACACCTGTTTACTGACCAATCAGATAGTATAGTTTTGTCCTGAACATAGAGCAGGACTTAAATAAATTGATGTTTGTTGTTGTTGTTTTAGATTCAGCTACTCTAAACAAAAAGTTCCAAGTAGCATGGGCCCGTAGTGAACATAAGAATGAAGGTAACTACAAAAGGCCTATTGGCCCATATGAAGCAGCTCTTACTTATATCCACCCAATCTTATTCATATAAATGTCTAATCTGTGCTTGGAACAATCATGGGATCTTACTTCTATTATGTTACGCGGTAATTGGTTCAACAAATCAACAACCCTGTTACGAAACCCGTATTTACTCATGTGTTTCCTAAATCTAAACTTATCTAGATTTAAGTTGGATAAGTTTAGATTTAGGAAAGACCTGGGTAAATACTGGTTCGGTATGTTAGTTTAGGTCATTTATTATGCCCCATACCCATCTTGTGGGCGGTAGTGGAAAGGGTTACAGAGGCACATAATGGGCTCAGGGACTGAACTCCACAATTCATTTAGCTAAGCAAGTTACAGTCTTGATGAGCTAGTTACAGAATTCAATGCACATCGTCGCATCAACAATGGACTCGAGACCGACCACAAGTACGGTTCCTAAATTAAGCAACTGACATATGTGCAGAGTTAATGTCACAATTGATATGTTTGAACTGCACACCGTCCCCCATCCAGTGGGCAGCGGTGGATAGGTTCCAGTCACTTAGTTACTACCTACAGTTAGTAAACTGGGGATATTTGACTAAGATTTCTGGTAGCAGATCATTTTGAATTATTTACACATCTCTGGAACATTAGAGAATGTAATTTAAGCTTCGTCAATCTTTCTTCATGACAGGTTTCAAATTTGCGGGATTTATTTCCCTCCTGATTTTTATATCATCAGCAAATTTGCAAATATTGCTTCTCAAACCGGAATCTAAATCATTTATATATATTATGAATAATAATAATAATTCGGAGCCTGACAGTGGAGTGGACAGCGCTCGGCGTGCGTAGATCTAAGAGTCTGGGTTCGATTCCCGGCAGAGGCAGAAAAAATGAGCAGAGTTTCTTTCACCCTGATGTACCTGTTCACCTAGCAGTAAATAGGTACCTGTGAGTTAGATAGCTGCTACGGGCAGCTTCCTGGGGATGTGTGTGTCTGAAAATTAGGATTAAGGACTTGCCCAAAACACTATGCGTGCTAGTGGCTGTACAAGAATGTAAGAGCTCTTGTATAAATTAATAAAAATAAATAAATACATAACAGAGGTCCCAGGACAGAGCCTTGAGGCACTCACAACATTTTCCCACTCTTACTTAACCCCGTTTTACCCCATTTTTCTAAAACTGTTGACATTCTTTCTAAGATCAGATATTATGTACCTCGCCCTGCCCTGGTGACGCTCTATTACTCCCTCATCTATCCTTATCTCAACTATGGTATTTGTGCTTGGGGTTCTACTACCCAAAATCATTTACGTCCTCTAATTATCCAACACAAAGCTACTATTAGAACAATATCTAACTCTGGCCCCAGACAGCACTCGGTACCCTTACTCAAATCTCTGAATATGTTAGATATGATTGCAGTCTCCGTGGTGTAGTGGTAAGACACTCGCCTGGCGTTCCGCGAGCGCTATGTCATGGGTTCGTATCCTGGCCGGGGAGGATTTACTGGGCGCAATTCCTTAACTGTAGCCTCTGTTTAACGCAACAGTAAAATGTGTACTTGGATGAAAAAACGATTCTTCGCGGCAGGGGATCGTATTCCAGGGACCATAGGATTAAGGACTTGCCCGAAACGCTACGCGTACTAGTGGCTGTACAAGAATGTAACAACTCTTGTATATATCTCAAAAAAAAAAAAAAAAAAATATTGTCATTGCACATCCTCTCATGTGTACTCTATATATTTAAAACTCTGAACTGTAATGTCAGTCCTGACCTTAAAAGCTTCTTAGAAGGTGGTAACAGAACCCATGGGCACCACACAAGACACAAATAACTATTTGATATTCCAAGATTACGACTTAATCAAACTAGAAATGCTCTACAAATCAAGAGACCCAGAATATGGAATGACCTTCCCAATCATGTCAAATGCTGTACATCTCCCAACCAGTTTAAGATGAAAACTAAGTACTACCTAATTAACTCCATGTAACATACCTTACCCCTAAATGTTAACCCATGTCTTACTATTTTTAAACAATGCTGTTTGTTGACCAACTTGTGTATTGGCTATTTTCTACCATGTTCCCCCCTTTCTTTTATCTTTTATTTTTTGTTTCAATCGAATTTATACTTTAAGCTCAATTACTATTAAGTTTTAGTCTAATTTTTTTTTCTTCCACACCTTGCCCGAAACGCTCTGCGTATTAGTGGCTTTAGGTATTTGTATGTACTTGCTCTGTCTATAAATAATCTGAAGGTTTTTAACTCTGCATCTATGTATGTACTTTTCCTAAATATAATATTATTATTATTATTATTATTATTATTATTATTATTATTATTATTATTATTATTATACTAACTCTTTGTTTCCTTTGGTATAGCCATGCCATAATCCAACTTAATATAGAACCCCCAATACCGTGAGCCTCTATCTTTTTAATAAATTTTTTATGTGGCACTGTATCAAAATCTTTGCTAAAGTCAACGTACAAAAATTATAAATCTTACCACTATCAACTGCCTCAACTATGCTGGAATAAAATGATAGCAAATTTGTTAAACATGAACGGCCATTTGTAAAACCATGTTGTGAATTTTTTATTAATCTATGTTTTACAAGATGAAGACTGATAGTATTTGCAATGTTTGCTTCAAGCAACTTTCCCACAATAGACGTTAAACAAACAGTGAAACTCAAGCCAAACAAATCCCCAGGGCTGGACGAAGTGTTTGCCAGGGTGCTTAAAAAATGCAAAGTGGAGCTTTGCGAGCCACTGTCTACCATATTTAATAAATAATTAGTCAGACAGAGTGCCAGAGTCGTGGTAGGTTGCTAATGTGGTACCAATTTTCAAGAAAAGAGATAGATCACTTGCGTCAAACTATCGGCCAATTAGCTTAATAACATCCTCCCTGGTAACTGCTAAACTAGTCATCCTGTCCTCTTCCACACCAACATAGACTTGTTCGGCTGAAGGCATAATGTTAAGTTCTTCTTTAGTAAATACAAATAAAATATTTATTGAAAATACTACTCATCTCTTCGTCTTTATCAGTTATCTGACCTGTCTCAGATTTTAATGGACCTGTCCTTTCTCTAATCTTTGTTCGATATAACTGAAAAAAAAGTCTTTATGATTTGTCTTTGCTTGCCCCTGCTATGCTAACTTCATAGTTTCTTTTTGCCCTCATTATCTCTTTTTTTAATATTTCTAACCAGTTGGACGAATTCTTGTTCTAAACTGACTTCCCCATTCTTTATCCTTTTGTACCAAGCTCCCTTTCTACCTATAAGGTTCTTCAGATCCTTTGTTATCCATTTCGGGTCATTATTATTCGAGCTATTCAATTTGTATGGAATACTTCGTTCCTGTGCTTGGCTTAGAATATTTTTATATAAGTTATTTTTGAATCAACATCGAAATCTCTTTTAACGTGCGCCTGACAGCTGAGTGGACAGCGCTTCGGATTCGTAGTCCTGAGGTTCCGGGTTCGATCCTCGGTGGAGGCGGAGATAAATGGACAAAATGTTTCTTTCTCCCTGATGCCCCTGTTACTTAGCAGTAAACAGGTACCTGGGAGTTAGACAGCTGCTACGGGCTGCTTCCTGGGGGATGTGTAACAAAAAGAAGGCCTGGTCGAGGACCGGGCCGCGAAGACCCTAAGCCCCGAAATCATCTCAAGATAACCTCAAGATATACGTGACCCATCGCTGGGTTCACGTCTCGCTCCAAGATCGTCCCCCCCCCCCCATGCACAGGACACCCCAAAAATTCCTTAGGCCATTAAAATCAGCTTTTCGGAAATCTGGCACTTTAACATAATTTTATCTTACAAATATATTCCATTCAATGCTAAATCTTCTTTGTGATCACTACTCCCTAGCTCACTCACTATTTCGCTGAAGGGAGAGCATGGAGAGTGTCTTGAAGAATATCCTTGATGGCTCGGAGAGTATCCTTTTACGCGTAAAGATGTCTCTGAGAGTAAGTTTAGTTTATAAATATTAGTATATTTTGGTAGCAGTCTTTCCTGTAGACATATATTATTAAATATGACCGAAAAAGTAAGATTAATAATTCTAACACGAATTTTCTCAATCTTTCGTACATTTCTTTTCACTGTTGGAGGTAATTCAAAAATCAATTCTCCAAAATTCATTTTTATTTCTAGTCTGACGCGACACTTGAGCGC